GCGTTCCAAAGAACCCACAGCCCCCATAGAACCATGTTAGCCACCATGGGTAGAAAAGGATCATGCTTTCTAGATGAATCCTTTTCAGATTAGACTAGTGGATCCATTAGGCAGTTCAGGTCTTATACCTTTGGCCGGGTATAAGATGCTCTGGCAGCGTGAGGTCGATCGCTGTATCATCACTATAGCTCTTATGTGATGGTTGTCGGTTAGAGAAACTCCCACAGCAGTTATTGTATTTTCATACTCAGAGATTATTGTATTTTTATATACATCAGTTCATTGTATTTCTATATACTTTTCAGGCTTATTGTATCTTTGTATACACACAGAGTTTATAGCATGTTTTAAACAGTCTTTCTTTATATCACACTTGTTTTAAATTGCCTTATATTGAAAGAAGTCAGTCAGGTTGAGTTGAGTTGAGCCAGGTAAGCTATTCAGTTTCTTCCAGACTTTTCCTTCTAGCCGATGTTGCTTAGTTTTCCAGCTTGCATACTCGTACATTCCATGTACTGATGCCAGTTGGCCTGCATCGTTTCATGATGCAGATTCAGGTATCCCAGATCAGCAGCCTGCACGTCGTTGATCCAACTGAGCACTCCAGAGTCAGTGGTGAGCCTCCTTGCATTCCGGATGGCTCAATTATTGAGTGTTCTTAGTTTTGATTTTATTAGGATGTTGCGGGGTCTGTCCCAACATCCATCTCAGTATTTTTAGAGGCTTCATAGACAGACAGTCAGTCAGCTAGTTTGAGTCTCCTATATATATATGTAAATATTCTATTTTGAGATTTGAGCTGCCTTTATGGCCATATTTTATAAGTTAAGTTGTTTTGTAATATTGCATTGCTTTGAGTTATTCTGTTGAGTTAGGTTTCCGCTGAGTTAAGAAAGCCAGGCCAAGGGTTCGCTTGGGGCCAGCAATGGTCTCCGAGTGCCGGTCCCGCCCAGGGTGTAGGCTCGGGGCGTGACAGAAGCACAGGTGGAAACAACATTTAAGTATCCTGAGGAAGAGAAAAGCTGCCTTTGGTTGGCAAATGTCTGATATTCATGGTATCAGTCCCGCATTGTACATGCATAAAATCTACATGGAGGAAGGGTATAAGCCAAGTGCACAACACCAACGGAGATTTAATCCAGTGATGAAGGATGTGGTAAGAAAAAAAGGTGATCAAGTGGTTAGATGCGGGGATCATGTACCCCATATCAGATAGTAAATAAGTGAGTCCGGTACAGTGTGTGCCCAAGAATGGCGGAATGACGGTGGTAACTAATGAGAAGAATGAATTGATCCCCACAAGGACAGTAACTGGGTGGTGTATCTGCATGGACTACAGGAAGTTAAATGATGCCACTAGAAAGGACCATTACCCAGTGCCTTTTATTGATCAGATGTTGGATAGATTGACAGGGCAAGAATATTATTGCTTCCTGGGGTGCATGATATAATACCATCTTATCCATAAACACCTCAACAAAATCCTCCACCATATCATGGAAGATTGCCATCATGCATCTCTGAAATGTCGCCAGTGCATTGCATAATCTGAATGGCATGTGCTTGAATGCATAGGTGCCATACGGACAAGTGAAGGTAGTCTTCTCCTGGTCCTCTGGTGCAATAACAATCTGATTATAACCTGAGTAGCCATCCAGGAAGCAATAATATTCTTGCCCTGCCAATCTATCGAACATCTGATTAATAAAAGGCATCGGGTAATGGTCCTTTCTAGTGGCATCATTCAACATCCTGTAGTCCATGCAGATACGCCACCCAGTTACTATCCTTGTGGGGATCAATTCATTCTTCTCATTAGTTACCACTGTCATTCCGCCATTCTTGGGCACACATTGTACCAGATTCACCCATTTACTATCTGATATGGGGTACACAATCCCTGCATCTAACCACTTGATCACCTCTTTTCTTACCACATCCTTCATCACTGGATTCAGTCTCCGTTGGTGTTATGCACTTGGCTTATGCCCTTCCTCCATGTATATTTTATGCATGCACAATGCGGGGCTGATAACATGAATATCAGACATTTGCCAACCCAATGCTGATTTTCTCTTCCTTAGGATACTTAATGCTGCTTCCACCTGTGCTTTAGACAATGCTGCAGACAAAATAACTGGTAAAGTTTTATCTTCACCCAAAAATGCGTACCTAAGGTGGGCTGGCAATTCTTTTAACTCCAGCTTGGGTGCTTCTTCAATGGAGGGCTTGGGTGGAGGACCCAACACTCTGTTCAAAGGCTCCCAGTGATCTCTTGATGTGTCTACAAGTGCTACATCAAGAAATTGTACCATTTCCTGTGCCTCAGCATCCCCATAGATATCATCTCCTACTAGCACTTGCTCTAACGGGTCCTTGGACGCAACATATCGAGCCTCTGTCTCAAGATCTATAACCGTTATTGCAGACAACTCTTCATATATAGGTGGGAGCTTCAATGCCTTGTACACATCGAAAACCTCCACTTTATCATGTGCCCGCATAGTGAGTTACCTAGCTGCTACATCTATCATGGCACGCCCTGTAGCCAAGAAAGGTCTTTCTAAGATGAATGAGACCTCAGGATCTGGCTCAAAATTTAGCACTACGAAGTCTACTGGGAATATCAACGATCCCACTTGCACTAAGACATCCTCTACAACACCCTCAGGCCTAGCAATAGATATATCAGCCAACTGTAAGATGATGGTAGTGGGTGTAAGACTACCCAACCCCAACTTTTTATACCACGAATTTGGCATCAAATTTATGTTGGCTTGTAGATCACACAATCCTCGCGCATGGATGCTCTGCCCTATAGTGATCTGGACCGTAAAGCTACCCGGATCTTTCAATTTGGTGGGCAACTTATTTTGGATTCGGGAGCTGCACTTTCAATAAGTGCTACAGTCTCATATTCAATCAGCCTCCTTTTGTTTGCCACTATCTCCTTCACATATTTAGCATACCTAAGTATACTATGCAAAAAATCTACCAATGACAAGTTAATATGAACTTGTTTCAAAAGAGAGAGAAACTTACCAAATTATTCATCCTCCTTCTGTTTCTTGAACTTTTGAGGGAATGGAGGGGGTGGTTTCACTATTGGTTGCACTTTTTCTTCTTGTCCAACAACCTCACTTTCCTTAGGTTCACACTCTTTACTCACAGATTCAATATTTCTCTTCTTTGGAGCCAACTCCTCCAACTGCAAACCACTGCGCGTACGTACCGCATTTACCTACTTGGGATTTGGATCAGTGTTTCCCGACAAACCTCCTTGCGGTCGTGAGTTCTGGGCGCTAGCAAACTGTTCGAATCGTTTCTCCAGATTATAGCTAGCTGATTATTTCTCACATCAACAACTAACTAAGCTTGATCAACCATAATCTTTTTTCAGCATCTCTTCCATGCTCATGTTACTAAACTGCTTATTTGGCTGCTCCCATGAGGCCTGTTGTTGATACCCATGTGCATTTCCCTGGGTCTATATTGATTTTGACCTTGGGCCTGATTTTGATAACCTCCCCATGAGAAATTTGGATGGTTACGCCAACTAGGATTATAAGAATTTCCATAGTTTTGCTGGCCTCCTCCTCGTTGTGCATTCCCTACAAAATTCACAAAATCCGGGTTTGCACCGCATACCTCCGCACTATGATCACCACCTCCACAAATTTCACACCAAGTTGGTGGTTGTTGGACTACATTCACCTAAGCAGGCTGTTGTCCCAATGATAGATTGCTGAAGTGGGTGTTCATCATGTTTTGCATCGCAACAATTGTGTTGTTAAAGCAGTCACTGCCAAGTGTTTTGGGAAGCGAGAAGCGGAAAAAAGTGACGAGCCCTGAAGTGAGAAGCGAAGCACACTTTTTTTAAGTAAAGCGATATTTAGTATAAAAAAATAAATAAATAAAATAACTGAATATAGGTAATATATTCTTAGATTAAAAGTAAATAGATAGTCAATAATCCTCATAAGTCATAACATATAAAGCAAAAACATAGTTAAATCACAAAAGGATCAAACTCCTATTCTTCAATAAGATCCTCAAACTCTTCAAGTGCCATAACCAAGGGTTCTACTTGGTCATCTTCTTCTTCATCATCAGAGGTCTCATCAACAAGGTTTCCACTTGAACTGGAACCTCTAGCTCCTCTTTCCTTGCCCCTTAAAGTACTCCCCCTAAAACCATAAATATTCTCCTCAACACCACTTGCCATAGAAACATCACCATAAGTGAGACTTTCTCCTTCGTACACTTCTTCATCTTGGTGATCTTGGGTGCTCCGGTTAACCATTCATTAGCCTCATCAATACTATCCAACAAAATTGGATCAATGGTATTACGAGCATTGTAACGATGCACCAATGTTCTATTATATTTGATGAACACTAGATCATTGAGGCGTGTCAACTCAAGCCTATTTCTCTTTTTACTATGAATCTGCACATAGTAGAAAGTAATTAATAGGAGGACATAGGATGATTAAGATACCATTTAATTTAGTAATAATGTAATGTAGTTTCTCACATGTTCATACACGCTCCAATTTCTCTCACAACCGGATGCACTACAAGTTAAACTTTGCACTGTAATAGTAAACTGTTGCAAGTTTGGGACATTATGACCATATTGCATCCACCATTCAACTGTAGAAGAGTTATTTTAAAAGATGTGTAATAACTTAAAAGTTGAAGCTTTAAACACAATTAAAAGATGAAATTCTCACCTGGTGACCTTAAGGTTCTAGCTCTAATGGCTGATTTAATTCCAAGTTGCCCATCAGCTTTCATGTACACACCAAGCTCCTCCCCTATTTTGTCTTGCAAATTTTTATCTGGGATCATCCTCTCAACACATTTATGATATCCCTGCCACACTTCTTCAGTTAAAGTCTTCATGTCATTATTTTTATAATAGAGCCTTGGGTTCAAAATGTGTCCTGCTGCATGCAAAGGTTGATGAAGTTGATCTGTCCTCCTTGCATCAATGATTTAAAAAACACTCTTATATTTCCTTGTATCATAATTGAATGCCTTTTCAATACTTTCTTTGGCCCTGTCCATGGCTTCATAAATGTAACCCATTGGTGGTTTTTTCTCCCCATCCACCATACGAAGTACATGAATTAAAGGACCACCAACTCTGAGTGCTTGAACAACGTCATTCCAAAAATATGGACTAATGATGTGTCTCACAACTTCTTTACCAAGAGTTTCCTTTGAATAGATACTCTCATTCCATTCAGTTGACATAAACAAAGTTCTCAAATTTTTCTTTTGCTTATAAAAACTATACAAAGTCAAAAAAACTGTTGCGAATCTTGTCTTGGCGGGTTTTACCAAATTTCTTTGCTTTGTGTATCTCCTCATCATATTCAACAACAGTGCCCTTTGATTGATATAAGCATGTATCTTAACGAAAACTAACATGAAGTTTAAAAAAGAAAATTAAATATCAAGACTCAAGTTTACCTGTAGAATATAGGGCTTCTTTGAAAATGTCACCAAACATCAAGTTGATACAGTGAGCAGCACAAGGAGTCCAGAAAATATGTGGGAACACTCCCTTCAACATGTTACCCGCTTTTTTGTTCTCACTTGCATTATCAGTCACAACTTGTACCACATTTTCCTCACCTATCTTCGTGATAGTCTTCTCAAACAAGTTAAACATCTTATTAGAATCGGTAGAAGAGTCACTAGCATCATAAGATTCAAGGAACACACTCCCTCTTGGAGAATTCACCAAAATATTAATGACCATTTTCCATTCCTTGCTGTCCATTTATCCATCATAATGGAACAACCATACGTTTTCCATTGAACCTTATGTTCTTCTACTATCTTGTTTGCCTTTTCCACCTCCTTTTTTAGAAAAGGAACTCTTACCTCATGATAGGTGGGGGGCTTCATTCCAGGGCCATATTGGCCGACTGCCTCAATGAATTCACCAAAACTCTCGGTGTAATTAACACAATTGAAAGGAAGCCCTGGATCATACATCCACCTAGCAAAAGCAGATACAACACAATCCCTCAAATTCTTTCTAGAAGATTCTAAGTCAATAGGTCCACCTTTTCTCTTTTCGTTTGGTTTTTGCGAAAAATAGAGATTCATAGGACCCTTGATAGTGCTATTGATGGAAGATCCACTCCCACTACTTGAAGGCATCCTTTGATGCTTTGAGGTAGGCCCCATTGGCATATTCACTTCAATTTCATCATCATCCATTTCATCATTATCAAAAAGATTAACCATGGATGCTTCATGGTTCATTTGAGTTTTAAACTCATATTTCTTCAACAAATATTCTTTTATCTCTTCCTTCACTTTATCCGGGACATTCGGACATACTTTTACATCTCTATAGCCACCGAAAAGATGCCTTTTGTGACGAAATATTCCGCCATTGTATGTCTCATTACAAAAGATACATTTGACTTTTGTGTTACTACCCATAGGAGTTCCATACGCCCAAGCCGGATCCCTTTTTTGTCACATTTTGAATAAGAAAATACAACTTCACTAGTTACTACAAGCAAAAAAAAGTGTCACTTAGTAACAAAACAACAAATAAACTAAGTAAGAAAAATAAAGACTATTAAGATTTAAGAGCAGCAACCAGCATACACACTCAACACACATCACTGATTACTGATCACTGATCACACTGTACTGAAATAAAAAAAAAACAGAGCAACAAGCATACACACATCACTGATCACAGTCACTGTATAGAAATAAAAAAGAAAACAGAGCAGCAAAAGAATTGGAAAAAAACAGAGCAGTATATAAATTGAAAAAAGAAACAGCAGCAACCAAAAAGTAGCAGATCAGTCGCAGCAGCATCACAGAGAAGAAGAGATGAAGAGAAGAAGAGAAGAAGAAGAAGAAGAAGAAGAGAAGAAGAGAGCATACCCTGGCAGCAGTAAAAATATAGAAAAAAACACAGCAGCAACCAAAAATAGAAAAAAAAAGTCGCAGAGTAGTCTCAAAGAAGAAGAGCAGAAGAAGAGAAGAAGAGAACTTACCGTAGCAGTCGCAGCAGTCCAAAAAAATAATGTGAAGTCGCAAAAGGATTTCAGAAATTATTAAAAAAAAAAACCTTAATTTTTTAAAAAAAAAAACCCTAATTAGCGCTTTTTCAAATTAAGCGCGCCTTTTCACGCTTTTTCTTTTCTTGCGCTTCTCGCTTCAACGGTAGAAGCGAGCGCTTTTTCAATATCGCCTCACTTCAGGAAATAAAAGCACAGGGGCTGCGCTTCGCCTCGCTTTGCGCTTTAAGCATGCTTTTTATAACACTGGTCACTGCATCTACTTCCAGCATACTTGCAGTTTTCTGTATCACAGGTTTCGCTCCTCCTCCATTCCATTCGGGGTTACCCTGTGATATCCTGTTCAGCAAGGTGAATAGCTCAGCATAAGTCTTCTCCAAAGCCTGACCACCTGCAGCTGAATCAAGTAAAATTTTGGTGTTAGACTCCAATCCTTTAATGAAGGTATGGACCAACACCTCGTTAGCCTGATGATGATGTGGACAACTCATCAACATCAATTTAAACCTGTTCCAAGCTTGGTACAAGTTCTCTTCTCCTTTCTGTCTGAAACTCAAGATGTCGCTCCTTAACTTAGCTATTTTCCCAGATAAGAAAAATCTGATAAGGAACTTCTGTGCAAGATCGTCCCAGAATGTAATAGAGTTAGCGGACACAGAATTTAGCCATCTTTTTGCTTCTCCAAGCAGAGAAAAGGGGAATAAAGTGAGCCTCACATAATCCACATTCACTCCAGCTGGAGTGTAAGTATCACTGATCTCGCGGAAATTCTGTATATGGACTGTTGGGTCCTTGTGCGACAGACCAGTGAACTCTCCATTAGTGTGCAATAGTTGCACCATACTCTGCTTCAGTTCAAACCTTCCACCAACTTCAGGTTTTTGAATGCAAGAAGTCACATTGGTGGTATGTGGGATTGCCACGTCTCTTACTTTCATCTCAGCCATTACTGCAGGTTCCTCTTGCTCAACTCTTGCTACTGGAGATGTTGGTTCACTAGCAACAAGAGGGACTGGGTAAGTGAGACTTCTTTGCCTTCTCTGGTAGTGTGAACGAATCTTTCCGGTTCAGCTAGAGGTTCAACCAAGCCCTGTTCGTCTTCCAGTTTGGAAATTCAACACAACCTGCAAAATGAATTGCTAAGATCAAGTTGTCAACACTTGCTTTTTAACTTCAAAAATAAAAAAAAATCAAATACTTCCTAATTCTAAAGTCCCCGGCAGCGGCGCCAAAAAACTTGTTGCGCCCAAATCGCACACGCAAGTGTACGTGGTCGTTCAAGTATTAAAGTGGCTCTTATAAAGAGCCGGGTATCGTACCCACAGAGACTTACAATTAGAATCACTTGATTGTTCCAATACTTTCAACTAAACACAAGTGTTATCAAGGTTTCAAGAGTGATTTATGCAATAATCTACGAGTTAACCAAAATTAAACAAGCGCGATTCAATTTCAAGGGTTTCAAACAATGATTGGGTAAAGTCCAGGGCTGCAGCTCTTATCAGGATTCATGCAGTTATATTATTTAAATGGATGTTAATGAACTATCGAATCAATGATCACAGGGTTAAATGTACGATTATGGTCTCCCAACCTCTAATCGCCTACGATAAATGATAACCTAACTACATCGTTGAGCGGGGATAGGTTAGATCAAGTACCGAGCATTACGATTTCTTCCTGTATAATGACCAAGCATGGTTTCTAGGTATATCCCTATCCTCGATACAAATTAACCCTAATTATTAAGATAAAATCATGCTCCTTAAGCCCCACGTTCTATCCTCTTATTTTTCTCCCGAGTTCAATTAGGACAATGTGTTTATTTCAATAGTGATCAGGCACGAAATACGAAAAACAAGAACATAAGAATGATTCATATGATAATCAATATTAACCCAATGAAAACTCAATAAATTACAATCATCCTGTAGCCACATCCCTAGAACTAGGGTATTTAGCTACTCATAACAATAGTTTCGATCAAGCAATGTTTAATTATCATAAAGAGATCGAAAGTAAAAGAGTTTAGGAAAGAACCCTAAAAAATGATGAAATAGCTCTCCAAGTCGTCGTTCTTCAAACCCAGAAAAAGAATATTTTAATAAAATAAAATATTAACCTATTTATACTAAAGTCGAAATGGCCAAATCTGGCATGCTATGGCGCGACGCGGAGGTGTTTCTCAGATTTACTTTATGGCAAGAAGGCCTACTCCGCGACGCGGCCACACCACGGAGTGTTCTGTCCCAAATTGCTTTTTCGCGAACAAAAAGTAGAACCCCTCTCCCGTGACGCAGAGAGTACACGGAGTCTTCTGTCTGGAAAATATTTCACGAGCCAGATAAAATTCTGCGACGCAGAGAGGATACGGTTATGCCTTGAAATTCATTTCTTCCTTTTTCTTCCTTTTTCTTCCTTGCTTCCTTTCGACTCGGATCTGTTGTGTTCTCCAATGTCCATTCCAATGCTCGTTTCTCTATTTAAGCTCACCTACACAACTAATCATGCTGGTTAGTACATATAAAATCAAACGACTCTAAATGACTATAAACAAACACGAATTGATTTCAAACTTGGCTTAAATATGGGTATTTTTAGGTCCTTAGGCATATAAATACGCCTAAGATCATGTGTACTGGGTACTGCTAATTTTTTTAGGAAAGTTTTTCATTATTCAGCAGACCAAAAGGAAATCACCTTCTTATTACTCATACCACAAATGGATGTCCAATAGTACTGGCTTTCATTACTGCCTTATACAGGGGTGTTATTCACCATTCTATTCACAAATTTTTCAAAATACTTTGAGGAGAAGCGCCAAATAACAGAGAAACATTGGAAGACTGAAGAAGAAAGGAAAGGATAAGAAACTTACTAGAAGAAAGTAGAGAATAGAGATCGTTGGAGCAGGGAATTGATTCCGAGTTCTGAGAATGGGTTCTGCCGTTCTGCAATTGTATGGGTTCCGACTGCCTCATCTCCTTATTTCTAGAGTTTTAACCCGCTGAATTACACCAACTTAACCCATTTTTACCCAATATTTAGTGGGTTTATTTGGGATCAACCCAATATGACCCATATCTATTTTGTTTATAACCCAACCCATTCATACCTAGCTGGGTTGGGCATATTTTTGCCACCCCTAGGGGAACATATATATCCTCTACCCCTGACCCATTTGCAGAAGAAAGTTCTGAAGTTCTTTTTTTATTTTCATAAGAGGTAGTAAGGATTTTGGCTTCCTGTACTTTGGAAGAGTTGGTCACTGTTTTTTTTTGTGATTCAGTGCCGTCTTCATGAGCTGGCAAACAAAAGGAGAATTTCAGTTACTGGAGCTTCAAAGCTGCTGGCAAACATTTTATATTCTTACCGTGGAATGGGTTTGTCTGTTGGAACTATGATTGCTGGTTGGGATGAGAAGGTAGTAAAAATGAATGCTGGTACAGTTTGCAGAATGTCAAATTCCTGTATTCTTACTAATATAAAAACTTGATTGTGCAGGGTCCAGGACTATATTATGTCGATAGTGAGGGAGGACGGCTTAAAGGAAACAGATTCTCTGTTGGATCTGGTTCTCCTTATGCTTATGGTGTTTTGGATAATGGGTGTGCTCTTCCACATTTCTTTATCAGCTTTTCCATGGTTCCCCCTAGTGTCTACTTGAGAATGATTGTTAGCTAGAATCGTCATATATGTATGACGAAGGTGATTTCAGATATCATAATACTCATGTCTTTCGTATATGGCGTGTGCATATTGAAGTTCAAAAGACATGAGATCAGATGCATTTACCTGTATACTTTACTTCAGTGTCTTCTTAAAGAGAGAGTTGTGTTGTGCCCCTAAGGTTACTCAATACGCTGAAGGGTGAGAGGAAGGGGGGGGGGGGGGGTGTTACAGATGTTTCAAAGTGACTGCATAATTTATTGTGTATGACGAAGGTGATTTCAGATATCATAATACTCATGTCTTTCGTATATGGCGTGTGCATATTGAAGTTCAAAAGACATGAGATCAGATGCATTTACCTGTATACTTTACTTCAGTGTCTTCTCAAAGAGAGAGTTGTGTTGTGCCCCTAAGGTTACTCAATACGCTGAAGGGTGAGAGGAAGGGGTGGGGGGCGGGGGTTACAGATGTTTCAAAGTGACTGCATAATTTATTGTGCTGATCACTTTGACAGCTTTGTTACACATTTTTAACTTTAGGAAACCACTGAACTCTTGCCTCCTATCTCTAATTCTAATTTTCCTCCCTATGCTGTTTCACTCTAGGTACCGATATGATCTGTCTGTGGAAGAAGCAGCTGAGTTGGCTAGACGAGCTATTTATCATGCTACATTCCGTGATGGAGCTAGTGGAGGTGTTGCTAGTGGTATGTTTCTTGCAATCTCATCCACAAAAGAGGAAATACAAATATTAGTTGGCTTTCCTCCGTCTTTCTGTTGTATATTCGTTCCGTGGTCTCTGTGTATTTGTCATTAACTCGTGGATCATTTCAGTTTATCATGTCGGACCAAATGGATGGAAGAAGCTATCAGGAGACGATGTTGGAGAACTCCACTACCACTACTATCCCGTTGAAGTGGCAGCCGTGGAGCAGGAAATGGCTGAAGTGCCAGTGGCCTGAGGAAAAACAAAACCATCAAATATGTTCTCATCTTCGCTAGTTAAAGAGACAGTTTAGTTTTCTTCTCAGACTGTATCGTGGTCTTGCAATCTGTAAACCGTAAAAAATTACCTACACCCAATGTTTAAACCAAGCCAATAGATGCAAGGCTGTGTGTTTCGTTCACACATTCATCACTTAATTATGTTTTAGTTGTATGTACACTTCAATTTTTAACTGCTAAGCTTAAATTATCTAAGTTACAGGGTTTACGGAAACAGACTCCCGACCCTACAAAGGTAGGGGTAAGGTCATCATATCCTTTCCAGATCTTGCTCGTAAGATTTTACTGAGTATGTTGTTGTAAGGTTAAATTATGTAGTTTAGTGTAAACACTACATGCGCTTACAAGTGAGATGAGAAGTAAAGAAGCGATAAGTTAATTTTGACGATAGTTGTTTCTATAGTCATATGTCCTATCCTTTTACACTGAACTCTAAGCTAGCAATGCTTTTTAAGACTGAAGTAATCTAATCCCTTTAATCCAAAGTGTTGCCAAACACCAATTAAGTTGATTTAAAGACAAGTTTCACTTACCAAAACACCAATTATTCCACAAAACAAAATGAGCTACAGGCATCTACGTAGCTTATTTAATTGAACAAAAGACATTTACTAGAGCAAATTCTGAGTTTGGTAAGGATAGGTTTTATGAGTGAACTATAAAAAATCAAATATTTGATTTGCGTTCATGTTTCTTGATTTTCAAATAACAAAAAGAAATGAATTAGATATATTTTTCTAGTTCATAAGGACTAATTTGGATAATATATTGAGATAAGTAATTTCAAATCAATATTGTATTACCTTTAGTTTAATTTGTTTCAATTATCCTATTTGCCCTGCTTTCGTTTTTATTATGCCAAAGGGAGAGAACATCTTTGCTTCCACAATTTCCATAAAGGAAGAGGGAGCCAACACATACAAAGGAGTCTTACAGACGGGGGGAGCTACAAGACCAATGAAATCCTATAGACAAGGGGAGCTACAAGACCAACGAAATCCTACAGACAGGGGGAGCTACAAGACCAACAAAATCCTACATGAACATCAGGGAAGTTTCATTGTCTCTCAAATTACTTTATTGAAATTGTGAATTTTATTGTCATTATCAAAAAGGGGGAGATTGTTAACTCCTTAGCGTCTGTTGATTTTGATAAATGACACTTAAACATTCACTCATACTCTTCGCAGGCAAACACATCAACAAGAAAGGAAAAACATAAAGAAGAAATAAAGATATGTCCTGATCTCTAGAATCAATCAGAGATTCCAAAATCAATCAAGCAGATCATGATCAATCAGAGATTCCAGAAATCAATCAAGCAAATCATGATCAATAAGAGATTCTAGAAATCAATCAAGCAGATTATGATTGATATGACAAAACAGATCTCCAGCCGAGATTCAAGCAAGCTACCAAAGGAAGGAAGAATCAACAATCCAGCCAAGAATCAAGCAGATCGTCACCAAGAAGGAAGCAAAGCAATTATGTCATGCAAATGAATATGACTTAGCAAATCGCCTCAATCAAGGGATCCCTCAACATCCTTGATTGAGATAAACTCCCTTGGGTTTTCCTTCCAAGAGCATCAACCTATCTATATATACCTACCTTAGTGTTAGTTGTGGAGTACGCACTTCACTTGAACTTATATTGTAATCTTCTTTTATCTTTCATAAAACTTTGTACACACTTGAGTGAACAATTGAAAAGAAAAGATAAAGAAAGATTTGAGTGTAGGTTATACAAGTAGAGGTTGTGTCAAAGAAGAAGATCTGATTTGCATATCAGACATGGCTCTCAATTGTAACATTTTGTAACACCTAACTTCTCAACAAGCTCTTAAGGAAACCCTTGAAACCCAAGGGGACTGGACGTAGGCACCACACCGGTGTTCCGAACTAGTATAAAACTATTGGCGTCATTTACTTACTGCATTTATTATCTTTGTTTATTTTTATTACCAACTTGTAGGTGAGTCGACTGACCAATATAGGAAGGCGACTGAAGGAATTTTTAAATCACCCCCCTCTTAACTTTCAATTGGTATCAGAGTAGGTCTCACTAGTAAAGTGTTTAACCACACGTGAGCAAAGATCCAATGACACACTATCATATTCCTGGTGCTCTACTTCAAGATGGACATTCCTCAACTCGACCACCGTATTTTAACGGCCAACATTACTCCCACTGGAAAGATAGATTCAAAATCTTGTCTCTTCAAATGACCATCAAGCATGGACTGTGATCAAGAAGGGTCCAAAGCCTATTCCTAGACTAACCGAAAAAGATGGCACTGAGAAGCTTCGATATCAAGGAGCAACAAGAGGTAATTCAAACTAATGCTAGAGCTATAAGTTTGTTATATTGTGTAGTGAGTGGAGCTGAATATGACAAGATATCAACATGTGAAACTGCAAAATAAATGTGGGACAAACTAGAGGTAACTTATGAAGGAACCACCAAGGTAAAAGAAGCTCAGATCAGTTCACTAGTCAATGAATATGAATTATTCAAAATGACCGAAGATGAAAACGTAGAAGATATGTTCTCGAGATTTAGCAAAATTGTTTGTGAACTCAAATCTCTTGGAATGGTATACTCAAATGGGTTACAAGTTAGAAAACTCGTCAAAAGTCTTCCCAAAGCTTGGGAAACTAAAGCTGCTATTCTTGAAGATAGAGATCTGCAGAAAATGACGTACGATGAACTTTAAGGCAACCTGATTGCCTATAAGCAAAACCATATTAACAGGTACAACAAATATGATAAAAAGAAAATTGTGGCCTTTACTATCGAGACATTTGAAGTCAGAGAAGAAGGTGATGAATATCAAGATGAAGGAATGTCTCTCATAAATCGAGGAGTGAGACAAATGCTTAGACAAAGAAGACAAAGACCCCAACAAGATTTTAAGAATAATGAAAGGAATGATGATCGCTACTACTACTGTGGAAAACCAAGACATATCAAACAAAATTGTCCAGAACAGAGAAGGAGAAACAATTGAAGAAATGAAGATCCAAAAAGTCTCGGAGCCTGGGATCAAGGAGAAAAATCTGAAGATGATCATGATGAAACTGCCAACATATGTTTCATGGCACTAGGTGAAACAAGTGAGGTAAGATCTTTTAACTGTCCTAACTGTAATGACTTACAAGACTCTTTGGACATGGTTATTGATGAATTACAGAAAGTAATTGATGAATACAATAAGATTGCTCAAGAAAAGAAAGACAGGCAGATTCTTCTCGAAGCAAGTCAAATTGAAGTTGACTTACTAGAAGAAGAACTGGAAGAAGTAAAAATGCAGCTGAACAATATCAGAAAATCTCCAAGTCATAGCTCTGTCAGATCTAACATAATTGCTTTCAACAGGAGAAGATCTCCTAATCAAAGTTCCAACATATCCAACAGTTCCATATCTAATTCTCCTTATCATTCTGCTGAAACTTCTGTTAATTTCTCTTATTATACGTGTGGTGACATTGGTCACAAATCTTTTAACGGTAGGAAATTTTCTTCTGGAAAATGGATTTGGAGACCAAAAGTTTTTAATCCTAACCCTCAAGGACCCAAAAATACTTGGGTACCAAAAAGAAATTAATCTACTTGTTTTGCAGGAGCAGACCAAAAGAACCTACAAAAAGGGAATATGGGTAATAGATAGTGGATGCTCCAGACATATGTGCGGAAAGAAAGAAAATTTCAAAACTCTTAACAAAATCGATGGAGGATATGCACGGATCAGAGACAATGCAAAAGGAGAAGTAGTAGGAGTTGGATCAATCACTCTTAGCTCATTATGTGATATGTCAGAAGTATCCCTGGTGGAGGGACTTAAACACAACCTGCTTAACATCAGTCAACTATGTGATGTTGGATTCAAATTCTCATTAAATGCTACAACTTGCACTATCAGACATGTGACTAAGGATATCACAATCGTTGGAGATCGTATTGATAATATCTACGTTGACTTGCCAACACTTACATGTCTAACTGCAGTATCAAATGAATCTTGGCTATGGCGTAGAAAACTTCGTCACACTAGCATGCATGCCTTTGAAAAATTGTCCAAACTTGAACTAGTCATTGGGCTTCCAAAGATAAAATTCGAAAAGGACCATATATGTGACGCTTGTTAGTTTGGTAAGCAAATTCATTCTTCGTTCAAGGTCATGGATACTTACAAAGAGAAGCATGATATTTTATTTCCACAGTTCACAGTGATCATGAAGGAGAATTTGAGAATAAAGCATTTGAGAAATTCTGTGATAAAAATGGATTCACCTAAAGATTCTCATCTCCTAGATCACCTCAGCATAACAAATGGTAGAATGGAAAAATTGTTTGTTACAAGACACTACCAAATTTTGAACAGATGCCTCATCAGACCTGTTTTAACTCCATATGAGCTATGGAGAGGTAAGAATCCTAATATCAACTATTTTCACCCTTTTGGATGCAAATATTTCATTCACAACAATGGTAAGACAAATCTGAGTAAGTTTGATCCAAGAAGTGATGAAGGTATATTCTTTGGTGATGCACCTATCAATGGTGCATTTGTAGTTTTTAATAAAAGTACTTTAAGTGTTGAAGAATCTGTTCATGTTGTTTTTAATCATACTAACCCAAGGATGCATGAAGTAGAGTCTATAGATGATCAAACTACTCCTACATTGAACACTGAGAACCTCTCAAATACTTCTGATCAAATTACAATAGAGGAGTCGACTACTCCAGAATTGAAGTCAACTAGTCCAGAACTGAAGTCGACTAGCCCAATCGAAAGACATGCATGGAGACACAACGCTAGTTATCCAAATGACTTCATTATGGGTAAACCAACCGACTCAATACAGACCAAAGCTTCATTGAGAAAACAAATATCTGTTGCACTCGTGTCTCTACTTGAACCCAAACATATCGGCAATGAAAGGTGAATCTTGGAGACAAGCAATGAAAGAAGAACTTGACCAGTTTGAAAGAAACCAAGTATGGACTCTTACTGAAAGATCGAAAAATTGTTCCGTAATTGGAACCAAATGATTTTTTCCGAAATAAGCTAAATGAAGATGGAAAAGCCATTCGCAACAAAGCAAGACTGGTAGCTCAATGATACTCACAACAGGAAGGTATTGATTATGATGAAACTTTTGCTCTGGTAGCAAGGTTAGATTCCAAAAAGAAGGCTCCAAAGAAGCCGCGTTCTAATGCTTCAGGATCCCTCTCTCCCGAGGACATGCAATGCTTCTGGGGAGTTGAGCATAAGAACAGTTTGTGCGGTCTTGAACTCTGCTATTCGTCTCTTCTATGCAAGCCTTTGTATTTTTCCAGACAGTGGTGAGATGGAAACCCTGATTATGGAGAGTCGTATCATTATTAATGAACTGTTGTTTGAAGATGTTTTTGTTGCAAAATTCTTTGGTGTTGTTCCGTATATGAATGGAGTTTGGCCTAACTATTTTGAAGTCTCTCTGGAAGGTGCTAAGAGAGCCGTTGCTGAACCTGATTCTAACTTGTTTGTTGTTGGGCCTTTATCTCTGTGTTTTGAACATCACATATTGGCACATGTCATTGCCACCACTCTTATTCCCAGGAAAGGATCTTTGAATAGTATCTCTACTCGGGACGTGTTTGTTCCTTACTCCTACTAAAGAAATACCGTATCAATTGGGCATTGTGGTTCAAGGAATATATGCTGGAAAGTGCTGAAGACTCTAATGCCACTGCAAGTTTGCCATATGGGCTGCTCATCTCACGTACCTTGGTGGATCGCCTCGCGGATCTTTCTATGTTAACACCTGTTGTTATTAATACTACTTATGACTCTAATATCTTCTCTAGCATGGGGTATGTGCAGGTAGAAGACAAATGGGTGAAAAAAGAATCTGTAAAGGCTAGAGCTGAGTCCGTTAAAACCACAAAAATTTATGCAGAGTCGGCTGCCCTACTGTTACAGGACAATGAGGAACTCAAAACTCGCATCTTGGCTGTTGAACGTGGTTCGGAAACTCTTCACGATGTTGTTGAGAAGGTCTTTCGCTTACAAAAGGATACCGGCATTGACGTCAGTAAGTTACGCATTGCTATGGCTGGTATTAAGAAGGAAGGAATCTCCACAGTCAACAAGTTGACTCTCTCAAGAGTGGAGTTAGCTCCTCCAACACCGACCTTGCTGTGACGGTTCAAACCTCCTACTCCAGTCTCTCCAAGATTGTGGAGCGCTTTTATAACTCTTTTTGTGGAATGGTTATCAATACCCTTAAATACTTTTTGGGTGATCACTAACTCCTAATCTTGGACTCTCGTTTGCTTTTTGTAGTTTTTATTGTTTGGATTGCATATTGAGGACTCGTTATCCTCCTATCTACTACACTATTTTATCTATTTTTTGTCATACTATTATCCTATTTGCCTTGCTTTCTTTTTGATTATGCCAAAGGGGGAGAACATCTTTGTTTCCACAAGTTCCATAAAGGCAGAGGGGAGCTAACATATATAGAGGAGTCTTACAGACATGAGGACTACAAGACCAACGAAATCCTACAGATAGGGGGAGCTACAAGACCAACAAAATCCTATATGAACATCAGGGAAGTTTCATTGTCTCTCGGGTTACTTTATTGAAATTGTGAATTTTATTGTCATTATAAAAAAGGGGGAGATTGTTAACTCCTTAACGTCTATTGATTTTGATAAATGACACTTAGACATTAACTCATACTCTTCGCAGGCAAACACATCAACAAGAAAGTAAACCAATCATAAAGCATAAAGAAGAAATAAAGATATGTCCTAATCTCTAGAATCGATCACATATTCCAGAATAAAGATATGTCTTAATCTCTAGAATCAATTAAGCAGATCATGATCAATCAGAGATTCGAGAAATCAACCAAGCAAATCATGATCAATCAAAGATTCCAGAAATCAATCAAGCAGATCATGATTGATATGACAAAATAGATCTCCAGCCGAGATTCAAGCAAGCTACCAAAGGAAGGAAGAATCAACAATCCAGCCAAGAATCAAGCAGATCGTCACCAAGAAGGAAGCAAAGTAATTATGTCATATGCACATAGATATGACTTAGAAAATCGCCTCAATCAAGGAATCCCTCAACATCCTTGATTGAGATAAACTCCCTTGGGGTTTCCTTACAAGAGCATCAACCTATCTATATAAACCTCCCTTAGTGTTAGTTGTGGAGTACGCACATCACTTGAACTTATATTGTAATCTTCCTTTATCTTTCATAAAACTTTGTACACACTTGAGTGAATAATTGAAAAGAAAAGAGAAAGAATGATCTGAGTGTAGGTTATACAAGTAGAGGTTGTGTCAAATGAGAAGATCTCTTTTGCATATCAGACAGGGCTCTCAATTATAACATTCTGTAACACCCAAGTGCTCAACAAGTTCGTAAGGAAACCTTGAAACCCAAGGGGACTGGACGTAGGCACCACACCGATGTTTCGAACTAGTATAAACCTATTGGCGTTATTTATTTACTGCATTTATTATCTTTGTTTATCTATATTACTCACTTGCAGGTGAGTCGATCAATATAGAAAGTTGACTGAAGGAATTTTTATATCACCCTCTCTTAACTTTCAACTAATTCTTTTGATGATATGTTGGTTTAGAACTATAAAAGATATTGATTTATAATTGATGATAAAGTTGATTTAGTTATATGTTACAATCCTATAATACATAAACCACAATTTAATCAAGTATATACCAACTTTTTAGTATCATCAAATTAATTTACATGGTGTACAATATGATTTAACCTTGGAGTCAAGTTCAAATTAATTTAATTCAATTTTATCATAATAAATGAAGCATAAAAAATTATAACCAAATAAGTTTAAAAAATTAATATATACCTTAATGATAAATTTAATTTTTGATTATATGTTTCAATCTACAATGGTGTAAAAATGATTTAAACCAAAAAAAAAAAATGAAGGAAGAAGAATAAAAAAAAACAAAGAAAATTTTTGTATAATGAAATGAAGTAAAAATGATAAAAAGAAAAGAAAAGAAAGGATAAAGAAACGACTTAAGAGACAGAAAAAAAGGAGGAGGGAGGAAATTTTCAAAAATAAAAAGAGTGGAGAGAGAAAAAGAGATTGAAGAGGAGATATTTTAAGAAGAAGCTAAAAAGAGAGATCTATTAAGATTAAAAGAGATCTATTAAGATTAAAATATTTGTGTTTTTTTTAATCTCTATATTATATTTTAGTATTTTTTATTTTTTATTTTTTTTATTTTTTATTTTATTTTTTTTGTTTTGTAACAAATTTATTGTTATGTATGTGAAAAGTCAAACTACTGATATGAAGGAGTAATTTGGGTGCTTAAATTGTATTGTTAGGTTTTTTTTACTTATTCAGAGATTTTAGTTGCAAATTTTGAAAACACAAACAAAAGCCCTAATTGGCAACAACTTAAACATAGAACAATGGTAGAAGTTATATTTAGAGTCCGACGAGCGGTGAGATCCATCAAGACACCAATAGAGGCGAAAGGCTAACCTAGGTTCTACTATCATTCAAGTATTATGCTTTGATTATTGCTTTCTTTTGTTGTGGCTCATCAGGTATCTGTAATTATCTGATTGATATAGAGTTCATTTGATTAACTTGAGTGTATCAAGAGAGAGAGAGAGTGATCACTAAGGTTAACAGATACACTCAATTACTGGATAACTTCACCGGATAAACTTTCGATGTGTAATAACTTATAAGGGAAAAAACCTAAAGATACAACTTAAACACCTAAATAACCACTTTGTAATAATAGTTTTACTTTTCACCAACATAGCAATAGAACTTTACAAAACAGAACAAAATAAAAAAATAATAATTGGTAAATACAAAACAAGAAACACACGATTCATTATTTAATTAGATTTTAATTCCTTAATTTCCTCTGTCCTGTTGGAAATCAACATTCTGTCAATTCTAATTCAGCACGACAAAAGATGGGATGTGTAACACCTCGGTCTGAGAAAGAGCTAAATTGAGATTTGTGCAAGCTACTCTTTAATTGTGAGTTTTGGGTCAACTTCAAATGATCATAACTTTAAGCACAAAATGAGTTAGGTGGGCCATAAAATATCAAATCGAAG